AATATAAATTCGGAATAGCATTTTCAGTAGACAAGTATACAATTTCTGAAGTTCCAAGAATAAAAAAATGTAGTAATTCGTATATTTGCTAAGCCAATAGCCTTATCTTCTGTAATTCGAAACCTATCTTTCCGTAAATGATTCTTCTAGTCAAATGGTCTATTTTATGTGTACTTTATCACGAATCTTATAAAATAAAAATTACATAACTTGTATATCTGTCATGTGAGCAAGCATATTTGCATATGCACTGGGTAGTTTTAAACGTATTGTACTTCAGCAGTCTATCAGAACAGGAATAAGAATTTTAAGTCCAAAAACTTAAGCTAAATGATTGTTTGCCATAGGAGATTGCGTAGGATTATTTCTAATTTTCATTGGCTGTAGCAAAACTCAAATTATTTTCGATTTCTGAAAAACGCTTCATTCTTGCTAAAGACTGGAATCAAACCATCATGTAACACATCACCAGTTTATCTGTTCTCTCAATTTATTCTCTGAGCGCAGCGTCTTCGTTCGACATATTCAATTGTTTAGACGCATGATTTAGATGTGTATTAATATAAATACCCTCTGACAAAGTAATCTCGATTTGTTTTAGAAATAACTAAATAATGCAATCTAATAAAGGCTCTGACATTGTTCTTTGTGTCAGAAATATTTTTTATGAATTATGATAATCCTTTCTATTATTTCGTCTAAAGTAACACAACATTTTAGCACATTTTGTACTCGTATTTATGATACAGTGGTGAAGATCATTTTGATTCAGTTATTCCGTAATTGGAACGCTTCGGTCGGTTTTACCAGAGTCCATACTTAGACGAATCAAATGTCACTTCACCCTTGCGCCGATAACGTGCGTTTGAGAGCAAAATTTTGCCTCTACACGCACGCGTCGTTATTCGAAAAGGGCACTCAGCGGCGCCAAGCGCTATTCAAACATGTTGGTGCTTAGAGTTTCATTCAAAATTTCTGAAAATGAGTAATTACGTGTAACTATTTTATGCTGATATATTCCTCAAAATTAACTCATTAATGTTTAGATATGCAGTGGTTTGAGCGCATATTTCAGAATGATAGATGCTTTCTGACGTGCCTCACAGAGACGTCCATTTTATTTCGATATTTTAACCCTATAATAGCTAAAATTTACCTTAAAATAAGTAAGGAGGATTACAGTTTAAAAGAACAGAAATTGTGGTATTCGGAGCAACAAATTGGATAGGTTTACCTTTTTTTTATCCGCGAAGGGGGGTATAAAAAGCGAGAAAAAGTATGATAAATATTATCTCTGAAATTTTTAGTTTGTGAACTGAAATGAAACTCGAAACTCACCTTGTTTATGGCAGCTTACATAACATGCTTGTATTAGACGTAAGGGGGATGTTTTTGTAAACTCGCATGGGATTCCCTATACATCATTCAAAAATTTTTAAAACTAAAACTGCACTTGGGCAACATGGCTCCAAAAATTTACGGAGCCATGCTGCCTGGGCTACTAAAAAAGGTATTGGCTTGTTAATTTGTGTAATATTTAAAAAAAATTCACAGATTCTATTGTCTTTGAGCTCTTTAAAGACCTTAAATACGTCTAATGTGTTTCCAAATCAGGTTTTTTTTTTTTTTTTAATAATGAATGAATGATTATGCATACGATTTTGTTTCCTTATTAATTTGTATGCTTTTGCTAATTCATACATTGATGTAATACGAAAGTAATTTCTATAGTATTAGAGTAAGATAGCATCTAAGGTTACAAAATTCATAACTTCCTTTTCAATCATGCAATACGATGTTTTCTTCCTTCCATATTCGCATATTCAACATCGTCTTTACGGTTGTTACAGCTTCCCTAGCAGTTTGCTTATTGCCTCTCTCATAGGTGTTACAAAACAGCCTTCAGCCCCTTTTTTTTATTGCCTATTCTAATACTTCTACTATCAAATATCTATATTTCCTTGAAAATTAAATTTAAAATATATTTTTATATATTTCCATTTAACCAAATCCTGTCCAACGGTGTAATACCAATGCACGTTGAGAGACCTTAAAAAATAATCTTTTAAGGATATCTGGTGACTTCTACGTTCTTCTCGAATGGAACCAAAACATAAAAGGGAAAAATATAATCCATGTTATTTTTGAATATTTCCTCATAATTCTTTATTGTAGCCTAGATGTATACACCATGATAGCCTATGAGCGGTGGAGATCATTCGAACGTCTGTCGCTCTTCCAAAAAACGTCTATGTTCTTTGGCTCTTCGTAATACATATTCTTTGGCTCTTCGTCTTTCTCACAGTCTGCATCGTGCGAACGTCGCCTGATGGATTAGATCATAGATTTCCAAAGGGGTTTATATGGAGCCGCAGGGGTCTACTCCGACCTGCAAGAGTTCCATGTCAATGAAAGAAAGAACTGGAAGTGCATGAGATGTAAATAGGGGTCCACAAGACTGGATCCCATTTAAGCAGGTTCTCACCAAACTATAGGCGCTCCGTAAATGCCATAATGCGTCTAACAAAGATTTTACCTATATATAAATTAACTAATAATATATTAATTAAGTATATTTCAGAAACTTCTGTAAGTGGGTACCTGTTCGCTTTGTGTTCGCACTACTTGTAAAAACTTGCACATTTGATACTAGTAGCAACGCACTGGGCGTATACACGCAGTATCAACGTGTAGAGACATTAGGTTATTTCGAAGCAGGAGACATGAAAAAGGTGCATTGCCCTGGCTGGGACTCGGAACCTGGACTTCTCGAATACGCGCCGAGTGAGTTGGCCATTATACCACGAGGGCATGCTAAAAAGGTGGGAGGAATATCTTATAAACGCTTGTCCAAACATGTATTACAGCTTTACAAAGATGACGCAGACTTGTACCAATTGTGTTTCCAGGACTTGTTTAATTTGTTAATTATAAACACTGCATTTCTCCTCTTAATTTTGATTTTCAAAAATGTAAATAGGTAGTTAAGTATATATAAGTTAAAGTGAATCAATGTCATCTTTAGAGTTTCAATGAAAATTTCTGAAAATGAGTAATTACGTGTAATTATTTTATGTTGATATAATCCTCAAAATTTATTCATTAATCTTTAGATATGCAATGGTTTTGAAGGCATGTGTCAGAATGTTGGATGCTTTCTGACGTGCGTCACAGAGCTCTTTATTAATATTATGTCGATATTTTGTATTAACCCTGTGGTAGCTAAAATTTACCTTGAAATAGTTGAGTAAGAGCTATATTTCTGCATTATATATTTATGAATAAGAATTCTTGAGGACTTCAGTTTAAAAGAGAGTAAATTGTGGTACTCGAAGTAACAAATTGGGTAGTTGGGTAGGTTTAGTCTTCTTTTTTTTTTTTTTTTTTTTTTTAAACCCCGGAGGCATAAAAAGCGAGAAAAAGTATGATAAAAATTTACTCCGGCATCTCTGAAATTTTATGTTTGTGAACTGAACTGACCTTGTTTATGGCAGCTTACATAACATACTTAAAAAAAATTAAGTAACTTTTTTACCATAAAATATTTATTTGTAGTCCCTCCGATTGCGTAAAGACGCCAATCGTGTGTACAGTCTCGCGTAGTTTCTAAAATTTAAAATGGGATGTGCCCAAAAATAACGACAAAGGTAGCTCTGCCAATTGTTTATGTTTTGTGGCGAAGGAAGCATCCTGCTTTAAAAACCTATACAGTATTTTGCATTATAACTAGCATAACCCAATTTCATATCCAGCAAGAAATTACATTTTGCTGTTGAACGGATAGACATTTTGTGCTGAACGTAAGGTGGGATTTTTAATTTTTTTAAACACTTTTATGTAAAGTAAATTTTGTGGAGTAACTTCATTTAGTTAATACTACAAACTGGTAAAAATTATTCCCCGACTTACAAACTCCCTAATATTTAACTCAAGATTAAATCATTCTATCATTGTCGAACAAACATCTACTTGTGCCTTTTATGCAATAGTTTTAAGCAGTGTATAAAACCATCCAAGCTGGAGGATCACCTCAGAAGGTGTCACCCTGATAAAACAGGTAAAGATTTGAAATACTGTCAAACACTGAAAGAAAAACTTCAGGAGAGACCCACGGTAGACAGTATATTCGCTACGACGTTAAAAAGAGACGATGATAGTTTGCTGTCATCTTAAATAAAGCCGCATACTATCGGAGAGCAGCTAAATTTGCCAGTCAATGAAGGGGTTTTAAAAACTGTTCTAAATAAATATGCATATGGTATACTCAAAAGAATTCCTTTGAGCAACAACAGTGTTCAAAGGCATATTGATGAAATTAGTGATGATGCTGAAAGCTTCTTGCGTAATTAATCTGCAGAGGAATCATTTCTCCATACATTTGGATGAGTCAACTTTCCCTGGTAATGTAGCACTATTATTGGCCTATGTTCGTTATGTTATTGCTCAAGAAACCCATGAAGAACTGCTCTTCGCGAGAACTTTGGCGACAGACACTGAAGACAGATCAAAATTCAATGTTTTCAGAGATTATTTGATCGAAAAGGAGATCTCTTCATCAATTATATAATGTCAGTAGCAGCAGATAGAGCACTTTTTATGTTTGGGCGCTATCGTTATTTTATAAGAGTTTTTTGGATGCTAAGAATCTCATTTAAAAAGAAATGACCATGAAGGACTTAAAGCATAGTTTAAAAAGAGTATTAAAGAGACCTCCCTATTACTTAGAGGCTTTGCTTATTTAACAAAATTTAATGAGGTTAACTTGCAGTAGCAAGGTGACAATCTAAATTTAATAAAAACCTAGACCATCATAGCATATTTTCTTGCCAGAATTAAACGAATGAAGCAAAACTTTGGACGGCAGATATTTTCCGACTTTCCCAGTTTGTCACACGCAAGCTGGCGAGTTTACGTCGTTTCATCCTATGTTCAACATTTAAATGCCCTTTACACAAGTTCAAAACCAGGCTTGAGGATGTTTTGACTATTTAAATACCACAATGGATCCGCACGGTGACATTGAAGAATCGGATGTCATATTACAAGGAAAATTGATTGGAATAAGCACTAATGAAAAATTTAAGGTACAGTTTAAAAAAGGGTATCAACAATTGTGGCATAAGAGAGATCTACTTATTACTTATCTATCGGCAGAAAGTTTTTGATAAATTCTCCAACTTCATACCTCGGGGAAAGGGCTTTCAACGCGGTTACCAATGTTCTTCCAAAAATTAAAAAAGGGGAAAAAAAGAAAGAAACAGATTGGAATCACTGACCGAGGAGATTTAAGGTTAAGCTTAATTAATTTGAAGCCAAATATTAAAAATTTGCTTCTAAAACATGAGGTTCATCCTTCTCATTAAAAGCATTCTTTTTTTTTTGTGTGTGTGTGTGTGCGTGCTTATTTTATTTATATTTGCGTTTTATGCCGTTATGATAATAAATGAATAAAAATTTTACATTTTTTTTTAATTTTAAAATATTCCGCTGTACTGTAGACCCTATCATAATGAGTAGCTCCGTGTTAGCACAAAACTTTTGAAGCTGATGAATTTTTAAAAATTCAGTATTGGGTTAGAGTTCCGAAACCACCTGAATTTTTATTAGCTTAAAATTTTGATCAGCTAGTGTAAAATTTCACCTGGCAGCTGTTATTGTCAAGTAAATTTTCACCCTGTCATGTAAATTTCGCACTTATCACGTGGCATGTCCGTTCATTTTGCTTTCGCCTGGGTGTTTTGAAATGCCTTTGGTGAAACTTTATCTTCGGTTTCGTTCTATTTTGGAAAGCTTGAGTATAAATCCAACACTGCCTGGCTCGTTCTAGAATAACCTCTAGGAAGGGGTCTATAAAAAGCAGAAAAAATCGGCAAGTGATATGCGACACATATAAGTTTGGGAACCTCTCTAGTTTAGATACTGCGTATCTCTTAAGTTTAGTACGTGACGTCCACATCTGCTTACAGTAGTGTAATGGTCCATTCCTCTAATCCGACAACAGTCCGAGAAGAAGTTCGGCCTTTGGCCACCGCCTGTTGTCACCCAAGTTCCTCGTTATTCTCACAAACGTTGACATATGCAACATTGAACAGTTATGATTATTTCATCCAAATTCGGTGCGATATGCCGAAGTGATAAACCAGCATTTCTGAGTACATAGATTCTGCCGCCACCCCCTTCCCGTTTGGGAAAAGTAACATATCAACGAACTCGAAGTATCGCAGTTATCAAACAACAAGATTTCATTCAATTTTTTAAATCTGAAGTGTCAAGAAAACGTATTACATTCTGTCAGGCCTTTTTACTATTTAAGCCTCTCTCACTTGTCGCTGGTGCTTACAATTTTGATCATTTGGCCAAAGACAAACTTTACCAACGATACCTCCTGCTTTTGTAGGATTATGACTCTTCTTTCTTTATTGCAATTTCATTGTTAAGCAATGTATTTTTCAGTGGAGTAAGGCTTTTTTTGACAAACTAAGTACTTAAATATTAGATTGAAATTGTGTATAATTGTTATATACAGGGCCGTAGCTAGAGTTTCCAGCGCCCGGGGACAACTGAAGAATTTGCCCCCCTTTCTGTGTGCCAACTGGAAAACATTTATTAAAAATTTCTAGCATCAATTTGGCCGCCCTGGGATGTTGGCCCGGGGATGCTAAATTAGATTTCTTATTTCTCGGCCACTGACAGCCCGAAACATCAAACCAAAGACAAAACTTCTGTTGCAAGTTTGCCACAATCTACTGTAGAAGCACAACTGAGATACGAAAATGATCGCCTCAAATTAGCACTTGCTCAAAGGTATGTTATGCCTTTTTTAATAAAACGTTTCCTTTAGTGAAATTGTAGGCTTTTCGATTTCTTTAAAGCCATATAATGAGGTGTTAAGTGTAGAAATTCGCAGATGTTATTCTTAATCAGCAACGTGTAACCTGTGGAGTATTTATGGTACTTAGTTATGGTACGGAATTTTATGGGATTATTTTCAGAGTATGTTTATCCGTCTGTCTTTAAATTATAAAGTTTCCGTTCTCTGTTTTACTGGCAAGGTCTGGAACATTAGGGGTGAATTCACTGCATATTTCTGTCTTGATAACTGATTAATATTTTCAGATAGTTAATTCTTTATGCTGTAAATCTGAAATGTAGAGCTCGTTAATGTTGACATTTCTGTCTCCGCCAATAAAAAAATACGCTCCGTCGCAATTCAGATCATATTAAAGTTTGGAATTTTTGCATATTTTCCAAAATTTTATCTTTTTTTAAGAATCTGCTTGCTCGCTGACAAGGAAGGTCTTCCAACCTTAGACTCTTGATTTTTTTTGAAAGAAATATACATAATCCACTTATTAAGAAGTATAAAATGTTAAAAGAATTACCTGTAAATGTTTCACAGTAAATCCAAAATAAATTCTTAAATATGGCGTTTCTGATCGCCAATGACGAACTTTCCAAGGAAAGTTTAAAATTTCATGAAATCTCAACAGCGCGGAATCGCCAAATATGGTCCATTCGTATTAATTTGGCAGTCAAGTTTTTTTAATTACTTCTAAATGAGAAAAAGCTCTTGCTCGAAGGTATGTTATTTTTTAGCATTGTAGCTTCTGTATTACTTTATTTCCAACAGTTTCAATTGTTTTTATTGAAAACGCTTCCTTAATTTTCCAGTAAAATTGTAATCTGCACTTAGGTGAAATTTAAACCAATATGAGAAAAAGAGGCTCGCCAGCGGCCGAGCAGTAAAGTCACAGAACTTTGGTAGCTTGACCTGGAATTGAATCCTGACGAACGGGCTGACTGCGTGCTTGGTTTTCTCCATTTATTACATAGATAGGAGTCAGTTTCCTTTAAAAAATTCTCCACGAAGGCATCTCTCCCGATAGGCAGATAGCCATCGAGTTGCCTTGCCTTGACCCTTTCAAGACTGCGCCGCCTTTGTTTGTTTTTCTCGCCCGAGACGGAGGAGAGTCGAAAGGAATGCTCCCACAGGACGAGGGTTTTTGCGTTGCTAAGCCTAACTTTAGAAAAAAAAATCATTAAAAAAGAAGATTAAGTCGTAACGCCATAATTTTAGGTACCATTTTAGATTATTTCTTAAGAAATCGTATATGTTAAAATCAGCGTTTAATAGTCTTTTTTTCTTTGCTTTACATGAAAATATATTAAAAGAATTGTTTTTACTTTAAAAATAATTTTCGGATGAGCTACTCAAATTATTCCGAAGTTTTAACTGAAAAAACACATTAACAAACTTCAAAATTAATTTTAAAAAAGTAAATAAAGACTATTTACAAGAAGTAACAAAATCTTTCACGGGAAGTGGAAGGCAGGAACTCAGAGAGCTCAACCTCTGATAAATGCTCGTATCAGAATCACTAGAAATATCACTTTAGAAAATAAATCATCACTCATCCATATCATTAATTGGGTCATTTACTATGACAGTATATCCTCCCTCTGTTAAATAACGCTTTCTCGCCATAATAAACTGAAGTCAAGGCTTTCCAAAATAAAAGGGAAGAACACGAAATATATCCGAAAGCAACGTAAAACGTAAGTAACCTTAAAAGACCCTACAAAGTTTAAAAAGAAAAAAGATTCAGAGGGATGTCAGAAACGCGAATGTTTATAGTACGTGGGGAGTTAGAGATGTTTTTTGTTTACATTAGGTAATAGTAAGTCCCCCTGGGCTAGTCATGCTCTTCTTATTTCAAGTAGAAGGTAAAATTTATATGTATCTCAAATCCTGTGGCCATGCAGTGCCATCTTGTGACGAAAGTTATAGTTTTTAAAACGTTTCCGGGCACTGGCACAAATGTGCGACGGCCGGGTGTGAACGAGAAAACGCCAGCGTGCCGGCCGGGAAATGAGTGCGTTTCTTGCTGGCACGTACGTGTGATGGTCGGTGGGAAAGGGCTAATCATATAACCTAACCTGGGGAAAAGGCCTAGATTCTCTGGGGGTCTAGTTCGGTATACAGGTTCTCTAGGGATATTCTTAAGTACCTTGAAGCGATTTTTTTTTCCGAATTTTTCCCACTTATCCTTGAATATTTGAAATAATCAATCCGATTTCAAATAGCTTTCTTTTTTAAAATATTTAAATAGAGAATGACAAGTAAAAGGAAAACTATCCAAGTTTTGCTTGCAACTGTTCTGTATGTCTTTCTTTAATTACACCAGTAGCATTAGTGATCAAATTCTTGCCGTACTTTGACTGCAGTATATCCTTTATTAGAGTTTCTAGATCAGTATCTTTGTGGAATCATGTGGGCTTTTGGATAAAGGTGCTGCAAGAAGGTGGTATTTTTATAGCTCTTCTAAAAGAAAAAGTTACGCGTTATGACTTCAAAGTTGTGGCTTTGGAACACCCAACTCATCAGAATCAATGTGAGCGATCCACTGCTCTGAGGCAGACTTCGTGCAAAAAACATGACAGTCGACATGCTTTTTAATAATTTTCTAAAATTTGTATGCTTTATTTTTTCATTTGATGTGCATCAGATTTATAAATGCTTAAGAAATACAGAATTATCCGTATCTAGTATCAGGTCAGTCCCCTGAAGTATTACAATTTTCTGTACATAAACTGGTCTTATAAGACTGGACGGAATACTATCTGAGTAAGTAAAACCAGTATTATACCTAGTATATAAATCATTTTAATAAATTTTGACTTCAGGCATTCTGTTTAGAAAGTCGCTCTACTGATAAAATAAGACAGAGAACTGATTTACATATGACTTTCAGTGTTAATTTCTAAATTCAGTATGCTGGATACGTGAATTTCCCGACATCATATATTGTTGAAAGTAAGTCAATTTCTGTTTCTGCTGGGTGGACGTGTCATTATTCTGATACTAAAGAGTTCATGAAGCTTACTACAAAGCAGGGCCGAGGGGAAACAGGCCTGCATTGCAAGCGAGCATCATTCAGAATAGGGCGCCGTTTTGACAGTTCGCAAATGAATATATGAGTGCATAAAATAATAATTCAGGGGGAAGAATAGAAAAAGATGCAACCTAGATATAAAAATATTTTTACGATGAAACTGTGCTTTACGAAGCATGAAATGCGGTTAGAAATTGACTGTTAAAAATTCAGAGATTTTGTACAGTGAAAAAGCTGCTCGATTAGAACTGCTGTGGCGGCTGTATACTTTTTTTTTTTTTTTTATCATCACACTGGCTTTAAACTGAGTGCTCAAACCGGTATTGGAAAATAAGTAACTAACTGTATAGGGATCTTTGACATTACTAATATTAGCAATATTGTTCCGTTTTTGGAACGCAGTGTTTACAATTTAATGCAGTTTACAATCCAAATTTTAATAATGTGTATTAATAATCATATTCATTTTTACAATACAAATATGAATATCAATAAGTAATGAATATTTTCAATTAAAATTAATCAAATTGAATTCATTTACGTATTGAACAATAAGAGAACGATCATTCGAAATGTAAATTATTTGAACAGAGTTTTCGAGAGAAATACACAGTTCAGGACTACTAATTCTGAAGTCAATCTAGTAAGGAAGGTTTTCAAACTTTTAACTTCAGGTTGGTTGGGAAGGGGGAGTAAGTTTCATTTATTCCAAAAGAACAACATTGGTTTAAATTAGCCACTAAATCCATATAGAAAATAATAATGGAAAAAACAACTAAAGATGAAGTTGGTGGATTGCGAATTTTAGACAAAAAATTTGGCAGCATTTTTAAGTTTCAGAAAGTCGCAAAATAGCGCTGTATCGGGAAATTTTATTATTTTATGTATTTTAACTGTCCATACCTGGCTATTCAGCAGCTAATGTTTGAAATCTGTTGTGTCTTATTTAGTTTGTTGCCGTAAAAAGAATCCGCGCCTTTTTCCATGAACTGCTGTAAAAATTGAATTAAAATTCAGCCTTTAACTATTTCTTATAATTTAACACTTTTATCCTTATAAAATTATGAGGGTACACTTTTAGCTTTTAGAAACTATTTATTTACAATCTTAGAATGTATAATCACAGAGAACTGCAATACCAGCATAGTTCTATTTTTCAAATCTGTATCCAAAGTGTTGCCAATTACAAGTTACTAAATATTAAATGTTACCATTTACAAATTATTAAATATTACAATCCTGAGACTAAGTGCCCACCTGGAAGCATGGGAAAGTGCATTTTGAAATTCTGGAAAATCGCATACAGTACTGGAGCTAATTTGTCTGTCTTTTACCTGTTCTTAAGTAAGCAGACTCACAGATGTTTTCTAGAAATACTAACAGTTCATGGTTTAAAGACTTTCTTGTAAGCTGCATGTGCACTGTTGTTCTCGGATTCTAAGAATCTTTGATTATATTAAAGCACAGATGAGTCATTTTTCGGCTTTAAGAGATAACTTCGCAAAGAGCTTTTTAAGAGAAAATGGTTCGTATCCACGCTATAAATGGGAAAACCACTAAAACTTTGTTCATAGCCAACCATCATTCGCCGGGATACGAGTATTCTATTAGTACTCAGCAGTGAAACTACCGACACTCAGCCTTCTGATCCATTCGGTCAATGGAGATCTATGGACTTGCAAAAGTATTTTACTGCAGAAAACTGCATATATAGCATACATCATTATCTAAATAGCATACAGCGCATTTATTTGCTTTAATGAGTATTTCTGAGCCACCTAACATTGTCAACAAAAGAAAAATATAAATTAAAACTACAGTTCGGTAAATACGACTTTTTAAGTTCTCAAAAAGTGTACAAAGCTATAGAAACTTTTGTCTCTTGTCCTGAAGCTGCTAATGGCGTACTAAAAATAAACGAAAATCTTTTAAAAATATTTATAAATTGATGATTCTACTATTTTATTACTTATATAAAGTAATAATTAAACATTTGGGAAAAGTTGGAAGATGTTTCAAAACACTTTAAGATAAGGGTATTCAAGGATACGACAATGAAGTAAATAAGGAAGAGAAAAAATGAACTTCAAGGTTTACACTGAATTCAAATTTAAAAAAATAATACAGTCAAAAGTCGTTAATTCGGACACCCATAATCCGGAATTATCTATATCCGGACCTCAAAGCTACAAACTTTCTGCGCATGCGTCGCGTTCACGCATGCGCACAGGCTTTACGAGAGCGCGTAAGACCCGTACTGCGAATATGTTTGTGCGCATGCGCGTTTAATGTGTAACGGAGTTACGCTAAGCTAAAGTTATCTAATTCAGTTAATGTTGCAGATTGCGTTCTTCTTTAATCTTCGAATTGGATCCGGCTTATTATTTTTTTGCAGACTGTTAGAGCAATTTTATAAAAGTAAGCTTGAACTTTCGATTATGTCAAATAGAATTTCCGATATATATTTACTACAAAGCGAAAGTATGTTTTGAAATCCGAATCTGTTTATCAATTTCACGCTGCTCTGCGGCAGAGGGTGGGGGCAGAAACAGAAACGTCATTATTAGATTATGATAGATTAGAAAGATTATGTCAAATAGAATTTCCGATATATATTTACTAATATGTAATTTGTATCTACAAAAGCGAAAGTATGTTTTGATATCCGAAATCTGTTTATCAATTTCACGCCGCGGATTGGAAGTTGATCTGTCAGCACTATCCTTATCTTCAGGGCAGATGTTTTTATTTTATTTGGTTTTATAATTCTGTACTAAGTTGTAGTATTTCATCTCGATGTACTCCGTCTTTGATATGATTTAAATCAAGTTCCTCGTCATTAATAATTCGCTTCCGATAGTGAAGAAAGTGACCCAGAGGTTATTGAAAACGAAAAACATTTCGATTGACAAGTTAGTCGGTATTCTCAACACAGCAATTATAGGACTTGAACAGCGGAACTTTGTAACTAAACAAGAAATTATGTCTGTTTAATAGAATTAAGAGAAAGTAAGTATTATCACATGAAACGAAGCAACTTACATTGAAGGAAATGTTTAATAAAGTAAACAAATAAATATTAAGCTTTTTCTTTTTGTAAATTTTGATACCCTTTAGATCATAATTGTTCTTTATTTCATAAATTACGGTTTTATATTTTTAATTTTGTAATTTCTGCATGCCATCTTGCCAGATTTAAACTGATGATCTATAATCCGGAAAAATCGATAATCCGGAATCGCCGAAGTCCCGACGAGTCCGGATTAACGACTTTTGACTGTAATAATAATTTTATGTGCTTCAACTCTAAAAATTTAGTAATAAATGACGCAGTTAGACTCAATGAACTATTATTCATTTCTCCATCTCCATTGAAGTCTACATTCATTTTAATACTGAAATTGGTATTAAATATGGGAAATCAAATTGAAACAGTAGACCCTTATGATATCGTCTACGAGAAAACTATGATGCACTATATGAGACCATGAATTATGGGTAATTTTAATTAAAAAGCACAACATGAAAATCAAGATTTTTTTTTCATTAAAATGAAAAGATTTTAAATTTCTATTTCCTTTGCTAACTTACTTGCCTGTATTTTCTGGGCCCACCAGCGGCCGAGCGTTAAAGTCGCTAAATTTTTGTAATTCGGTCCGAGGTTCAAATCCCGTGGCATGGGTGTTTTCATGGTTTTCCCCATGTGTAACATGTATACGAACCAGTTTCCCTTAGAAAGTCCTCCACGAAGGCATCACTTCCCTTAGGCAGATAGCCCTAGTGTGTTTTGCCATAATGAAATACACCGCCTGTATTTTCTGATCACGATAAATTGGATCAACAAATATTTGCAAGATAAAGGATCACTATTGTCTTTTTATAATTCTTTTTTTAATCTTCTGAAAGGTTTTAAAATATTTTATTAGAATACAGAACAGATTTAAACTACAAGAATGTGCTCAAAGGCGGGAAAAAAATGGTACAGTCAATTCCCTGTTTACAGGTGTGATACCGAGAACGATGTCCACAGTTAATTTAAAGACACAGTTAAACCCGAGGGCAGTAAAAAACACAGGAAAGAGGAATAACCCATATTATTAACAGGGAAATACTACTATTAACAACTTATCTGTATTTTAAGTACTTTAATCGAAAGAAGAAATTCATTCGGTTACTTATATAAAACATTATTCAAAATAGTAGTAATTTTTTTTTATCGTTTGGCTGAAGCCAAACTTATTTGCCCACCAGCGGCCGAACGGTAAAGTAGCTAAAAACTGGTAGTTCGACCCGGGGTTCGTTCGAATCCCGGCGAACGGCTCTCTACAGGGACGTCTCTGTGCTTTTCCCCATGTGTTACATGTATACGAGCCATTTTCTCTTAAAACTTCCTCCACAAAGTCATCCCTCCCTTTAGGCAGATAGCACTCGAGTGCTTTGCCATAATCAAATAAAGCAAAACAAAATTAACTTTTTTTAGACAGGGCAGGTTTAATATGCAATCCTTTTAACCACCTCCAGTAAATCGACCCTTAATTGTAATAGTAATGAAGATATATATGACGAGGTAGAATTTAAAGCTGCAGTCGAAATTTGGCGAAGACATGGAAGTTACAATGCAAATATCATTGACGAATCCCTACAAATCTGAATATAAATTTACAAATAAGTGGTTTTATTTGTTTTTAGATATTGTGCACACGCCATTAAGTGAAAGTGTTTATCAACTAGAAATGTGGCTTGACAATTTTTGTTTCTTCATAATATATTGAACGCTAATAATAGATTTATTAAGATATTATTATTTCAACTGCAAAATCGAAAAACCATACATGATATTAAAGTGTAGATTCTGTTTAAATAAGTAATTGCTATGAGGATAAATTAAAACTGAAACCTTATGACATTTAATTAACCTTATTTTAGAGTTTATCTTTTTTCTGAACTCAATGATTATATTTCAGACCGTTTTGATTTTACCCGTTGATACTCATCCGATGAATAATCAAAATTAATATTTTAAAATTAATTTAAATTATTACGTCAATCGTAATCGAAAAAAGAATAAAAAAAAGATTAATCTTGCATGATTAGCAAATAAAAAATAGCCGAATTATCTTAATGTTAAAAGAATTCGCGAAATTCGAAGCAAGATATTCGTTTCAATTTTATTTCATAATATCCTCCCCACTCAACCTAACATTTCTTATAGTGCAAAAAAAAAAGAGAAATTGAAAGGCGCCTGTTTCGAATTCGCAGCCGGCGCTGAAGTCTCTAGCTTCGGCCATTTTTCCAAATATATTTTGTTATTTTTGAAGGATTATATACACATTGAAGGTGTATCTCTCTCTGGGTATTTAATTTCATGTTTTGTGCAGTAGATCATGTCGAATCAGAATCTGAGGTTTGTAACTCATGGATTTCCCTTCCTTTTGCTCAGACGTTAAAATAGGGTTGTAAAAATTTTTCTCAAAATACTGTCATCCCATGTTTTAGCATTTTATACACTGGCGTGGATCTTTCAGCTCCGCGAATGCGAAAAAGTGGGAAGTGGAATTGCAGACACTGAAAAGCAATAACGCTCGTCTGACAGGAGCTTTACAGGAAAGTACTGCTAATGTTGAAGAATGGAAAAGGCAGCTTCAAGCTCTAAAAGAAGAAAATACTAAAATGAAATCAAGAGTAAGTATGATATTTATCCATTTCTTTTCTTTCTAATTATTATTATTCTGTTTATAATACGTGATGGCAAGAGCGGGGCCGATGCTAGGTTTTTCGCCTCCCGTGCAAACTTCGCGACTTCTAAATTCTACCGGCTCTCCCCAAGGGTGAAAATATAATAAATTTTTATGAAAGTAACTGTGACGTTACCATTGTATTTTTATTTGAGTGAACAGGGTTGCTACAGCTTGCCGAGTATATATAAATGCTTAATTTGTCATTTAAAAATAAGAATTCAGAACGACTATTTTATTTGTTTCCAAGCCCTCCAGTCGTGCTGAATGAATATAATTTACACTAATGTCAATAATTGTCATTTTAATTTGTAGTCATAGTAACAATAGGTTAAGAATTACAGCTGTAATAATTATTGCTCATTAATTATTTCATTTCTAATTTATTATGAATTATTGGAATGTATCAATTCATTCAGCTGCTGTCCAACCACATATTGCACGACGATGTCTGGTACACTTCCAAGCAATTTAGATTGTTTGAGCAGAGTGCCCATTTGAAAAATGGCACTTCTTGGGGGATAACCTAGGGACACAGAGAATATTGGAATGCCATTTGCGCAGCCTTTATTCTACACGTTATGTACACATTATAAGTTTCTCCCGCGTGGATCGTGATCATTCACCGTATCTCGTGGGCTAAATCTTTCTAAACAATAAATGCCTGTTTTTCTTAGTTGCTGATTTGCACATAAAACTTTCAGTTTCTTCCCAAGACTAGAAGTAATTTTCAGAACATTGAGGAATTTTTTTAACAGTTTTATTATGCGCAACACTGAAATGTTGAGTGGCCTTCCATGTATCTTTCCATCTACGCCGCACAATACTACCCTGGCGACGCTATGCTAATATAAGCAAGACTCTGCTACAGCATCCCGTAAGAGAAATTAGTTCAACTTCCGAAATCCGCAAATTTTGCAAGAATTGTTGCAAAGATGATACAGAATTTAAGAAATGATCTAGAAACCGCTGTTCAAAAGCAACATTAGATGATAATTGTTATAGTAACCCTGTTCTTTGTGTGACTTGCTTCAAAATAACTCTTGTATTATTTTATTATGATCATTAATATAAATAAAAATAATAATAGACTGTAAATTTAAACAAACCCTTTCTTTCTTAATAATCTTACCATTTGAATATTTATATATCAAAAAAATTTTAATGTCAGGGTATAACTTGCGTATTATTTATTGTACTTGGAATCTTACTTTTGACTTACGAAGCCTGAATGGAAAATTGACCTAGGGCATCAGTACCGACATAGTGTTTTACATGTAAAATTCTTCTCATGAATTGAAACCTCTTTATGCAAATATTTTTGGCCCAAATCTGTTTTCTTAATCAAATAGCTGTTTTCATTGTTTTAATCGTATTAATATTTATTGATCTATAATTAAGTCATTGCAACACGTTCACATAGCACATTGTTTATTCCACACGAACATTAACTGACTATTACTTCACTTCAGTTTGACCAGCAACTAGTGTGTTGCCACGTATATGTAAACATCTCCCCTCTTTTGGGAAACTCATAGGAATCAATGCATTACATAATTATCACATTTGGATGGTCGATATACATTACGACCACTTCTTGTTTTATATACACAATCACGATTAATATTATTGCTATTATTTTGATGGTGAGGATCATTATGTATTTTTGGATGTTCACTACTTATATTTTCCTCATTTTCATTACATAGATCATAATAGTCTAATGTCACTAAATTCTGATTTTTAGTTCTTCTTAAATGGAATTTATTCCGTCTAATTACCCTATTATCTTTTGTTCTAATCCAATATGATTTAGGAGTTGAATGCTTTTTTAAAACTATAGCTTTATTCTTCTTCCATTTATTTTCCCATCTCAACATTACCTTTTCCCCTGGAATAAATTCAGGTCTTTCCCTTGCATGCTTATCATAATTAGATTTTAGCCTGTTTCTGCTTACTCCTCACCTTTTCTCTATATTGATCTTTTACAGTTGGTTTCAATTCTGTTTGTGTAATTGGTAATCGTGTTCTTAAATTCCTACTTATAGCATTTGACTGGTGATAAATTTATTTTTTTTTTTTTTTTTTTTTTTTTTTTTTTTTTTTTTTTTTTTTTTTTTTTTTTTTTTTTTTTTTTTTTTTTTTTGTTTTTTTTTTTTTTTTTTTTTTTTTTTTTTTTTTTTTTTACCTGAAATTGGAGTATTTCTATATTCCAGTAAAGCCTCATTTAATTTCTCTAATACTGCTTTTCTAAATAACTCTTAGCTATACCTCTCCTGTAAACTGGCATCTGATACTCCAAGGACAATGCGATCACGTATGACAGAGTCACTCTGCTCACCAAATTCACAAGATTTTACAAGTTTTTCAGGTCAGTCACGAAACAATGAAAAAACAAAAAAACAAAACAAAAAATGAAAAAGCTTCCCCTTCTTCTTGTTTTCTCTTATTGAATAAAAATCTCTCCACCCCACGACATTTGTTCTAGGTGTCGTGAAAGCTTCAAACCTGTCAAGCACTTTTTTCATGGTTACCCTGAATCTCCTGTTGAAAGATTGAACGTGTTGAAACACTTCAACTGCTTCCTCACCAGCGGCATTTAAAAATAAAGCAACTTTCACATCTGAATCTTTTGAAGCATTTCCTGAAGCTTTCATATAAATCTGGAACAGCTGCTTAAATCTGCGCCAGTTTTCAGCCACATTGCCGTCGAAACTTAGGCCTTGCGGTGGGCGACAAAATTCCATCTTGCGTCTGCTGAGAGGAAAAACAACCAAGGGGATTGATTGCCTGGCAATTAGTTGTAATACTATTCATTGTATTAATATTTATTGATCTATAATTAAGTCATAGCAACACGTTCACATAGCACATTGTTTATTCCACACGAACATTAACTGACTATTACTTCACTTCAGTTTGACCAGCAACTAGTGTGTTGCCACGTATATGTAACATTCATTGTATATGAAAATACAATTATAATTAATTGGTTTAATTGCTTAATTAAGAAAATTGATTAAAGAAGTCATTAACCTATTTTCGGCAATAAAACATGCGTAATTAAAGTTTATTTTAAATTAAAATTATATTTTTTACATATACAATTTTTATAAATATCTGCAACTGTGTAGTATAAAGTCTTTAATCCGGACCTCAAAGCTACAAACTTTCTGCTCATGCGTAGCGTTTACGCATGCGCGTTTAATGTATAACGGATGGTATAAGCTAGGCTAAAATTATCTAATTATCTATTTCAGTTAATGTTGCAGATTGCGTTGTTTCTTAATCTTCTAATTGGATCCGGCTTACTATTTTTTGCGGACTGTTAGAGCAATTTTATAAAAAGTAAGCTTGAACTTTCGATTATGTCGAAAAGAGTTTCCGATTCTGGAGCTGCCAAAGGATCTACAAAGCGAAAGCATGTTTCGATGTCCATCAAACAAAAAGTGGATTTGCTGCAAAAAGTGGATAAAGCCATGAAGAAAGTGACAGAGAGGTTAGTGAAAACGAAAAAATTTCGATTGACAAGTTAGTCGGTATTCTCGACACAGCAATTACAGGACTTGAACAGCCCAACTTTGTAACCGAACAAGAAGTTATGTCTGTTTAAAGAATTAAAGAGAAAGTATTAAAACATAAAACGAAGCAACTTAAACAGTTTACATTGAAAGAAATGTAAAGTAAACAAATAAATATTGAGCTTTTTTTTTTTTTTTTTTTTTTTTTTTTTTTTTTTTTTTGTAAATTTTGATACACTTTAGATCATAATTGCTCTTTATTTCAGAAATTACGGTTTCATATTTTTAATTTTATAATTTCTGCATGCCATCTTACCAGATTTAAATTGATGATCTATAATCTGGAATCGCCGAAGTCCCGACGAGTCCGGATTAAAGACTTTGTACTGTATTAAAAAGACGTTATGTGCAAAAATTTCGCCAGTTGTGAAATAACTACCGTACCCCTTGTTTAATAAAGCACTTCAGTTGCAAACGTATTTTAATTTATTAAGCGGTTGGGTTTAATAAACGGCGATTCGTGTACTGTAAATCATAACAGTTTTAAACTTTAAGTAAAATAATAACTAACAAATAATTCAATAATTGATCCTAAAATAGTAACTAAAAATTATAACTAAAATTAAATTATTTATCCTGTTTTTAAATTCATTTTTTTAATTTTGTATAAAAATATTTTTATTATTGCATTATTGATGAATATTTATGTCTTACGATCAAATATTTTATTTGCGCATATTTAATATTGTTCAGCAATAGTTTTTCAAAGTTATTCTCAATTTTATGAAACAGCTGGTGGTTTTTTGATCAGTACATTTCAGTTCCAGTTTTCAAATGATGATGTCACTTTACTCTGTATCGCCTTCGCTGTCAGTTTTTGCAGTTTTTTAAACACTTCTAATAACAGTTTTTACTCTCGTTATCTCAGTATTTTTGCAAATTCATACATATTATTGAAATGAATTTTCACAACTTCCCTCAGTGATTTCTCAAACATTAGATATAGCATACATTTCTTGAGGCTTCTACTACGTTCATTTAAAAAAGTAGTTTTTAACTGATTTTAAGAGATTAGCTTCCTGCACTGTCCATAATATGCATGACTCAGAGACGTAGCTATTATTTTCAGCACTGAAGATCTTGCCTCCCTTTCTGTGTGCCAAGAATGAAAAAAGCTTCATTCTAAAATTTCGTAGCATCAATTTGGTGCCGATGGATCCTGCACCCGGGGACAGATGTCTCCCCTCACCCCGCCCTAGCTATGCCACTGGCATGACCTGTAGTAGAGATCATCTTACTTATCTCCTTCCATCTACTTTTTCACAATATTCAATTCTACTCAAAATTTCCTAACCATATTTACTGTAATGACATTTGAAAGCCTTTATAATATCCTGGACTGACGATTAGAAGTAGTATTTGCAGG